AATATGATGGAAAAATTGAAATAGAAGCACAAAAGACCCCAAAAGTAACAACAATCTTGAGAAAACGAGATCAAAATTGGAGGTATCATGCTACCTGATATCAAACTACACCGTAAGGCTAGAGAAATCAAAACAGCATAGTGCCCTGACGAATGTGGGTCAGTGGGTGAGGTGTCATCCCACAAACCAAAAGGTTTGGTTCTCGGTCAGAGCACATGCCTGGGTTGCAGGCCAAGTCTCTGGCTGTGAGAGAGCGAAAGGCAACCTATCAATGTTTCTTTCCCTTTCTCCATCCCTTCTCCTCTCTCTAAAAAATAAACAAAATCTCAAAACAGCATAGTACTGGCATAAAAACGACCAAAAAATGAATGAAACAAAATAGAGCCCAGAAATAAACCCATGCTTATATGATCAATTAATATTTGACAAAAGAGGCAAAAGCATACAATGAGGTAAAGAAAGTCTATTCAATAAATTATGCTAGGAAAATTGGACAGACAGATGTAAAAAAGATGAAATAAGACCACCTTCTTACATCATATGTGAGAATAAACTCAAAAAGACTCAAAACCACAGAATTCTAGAAGAAAACATAGGCAGTAAAATCACAGGAAATTTTCTTATCAGTATTTTTTCTGATATGTCTCCTCAGGGAAGGGAAACAAAAGGAAAAATAAACAAATGCAGATGCATCAAACTAAAAACTTTGGCACAGCAAAGGAAACCATCAACAAAATTAAAAACCAGCCCACTGGATGGAGGACGATATTCTCCAATAATACATCTGATAAGGAGTTAATATCCAAAGTTTATAAAGAATTAATACAATTCAACACTAAAAAAAACCCACAAACAACCCAACTAAAAATGGGAAGAGAACCTGAACAGACACTTCTCCAAAAAGGACACACGGATGGCCAAGAGAAATATGAAAAGATGCCCAACGTCGCTAATCATCAGACAGATGCAAATTAAAACCACAAGGAGATGTCACCTCACATCCACTTATTCTGATGATAGAATGGCTGTCACCACAAATCCACAATGGTAAGTGTTGACAAGGCTGTGGAGAAAAGGGAACCCTAGCGCACCGTTGGTGGGAATGCAGATGTGCGCAGCCACTGTGGAAAACAGTATAGAGGATCCTCAAAAAAATTAAATGGAACTGCCTTGAATAAAAAATGGAACTGCCTTATCACCTAGTGATTCCACTTCTGGGAATATATCTGAAGAAACCTAAAACACTAATTTGAAAGAATATAAAATTTGATGCACCCCTGTGTTTAGTGCAGAGTTATTTATAACAGCCAAGACATGGAAGCAACCCCAGTGCCTGTCAATAGACAAGTGGATAAGCAAGCTGTGGTGCAGTCCCTGCCCAGGTAGCTTAGTTGGTTAGCACATGTCCCAATGCACCAAGGATGCAGGTTTGAATTCAGGTCAGGGCACAATAAGCAACCAATGAGAACATAAATAAGTAGAACAACAAATCGATGTTTCTCTTTCTCCACCACCCCCACTAGACCTTCCCCTCTCTCTAAAAAAAAAGAAAGAAAGAAAGAAAGATCAATAAACTAAGCTCTTCTGAATCCAGAAACCCTGTTAAATCTATTTTCATGTCTTTGGTGCCTGGCATATATAGAAGTTTAATAAATATTAATCAAGTAACTGCTATTACAAATCAACAAAAGAAATTTGCTTACATTAAAGGGGTAATTAAAGCAAATATTATTTTCTCAGAGCCTTTAATCAGGAAGAAGGAGAAACAAGTTCTACGACAAAGAAACCTAGATATTTTGCCTATTTTGAAATATTGAGATTTCTCAATTAGTTCTCATGTATGTTTTATTCAGTTATCCTGAAATACTGAATATCTTTTCTGGGGATGATGGCAGTAAGTGACAGAAAATAAGGTATCAGTCATTCAATATAGAATAAAATTCATCATAAACAAGATGTGGAACATAATATATAGCAGAATATTACTGAACCATAAAGAAGAAAGAAATCTTACCATTTGTGAAAACATGAATAGACCTAGAGGGCTTCATGCTATGTGGACTAAGTCAAAGACAAAAACTATATGATTTCATTTGTGTGTGGAGTTTGAAGAACAAAATAAATGAACAAACAAAACAGAAACAGTCAGCTGTTTAGAGCATCATTCTGATACATCAAGGTTGTGGGTTCGATCCCCAGTCAGAGCACATACAAAAATGAACACATGAATGCATAAATACGTGGAACAACAAACTGATGTTTCTCTCGCTCTCTCTCTCTCTCTCTGTTTTTCCCCCTCTCTCTTCCCCCTCCCTCCTTCCCTGTCCCTCTATCCCTAAAAAAAAAGAAAATCAATAAAAATAAATTTAAAGAGAAAGTTGAAGGGATTAAGCAGTACAAACCGTTGTTACAGAACAGTCACTGGGACACAAGGCGCAGCAGAGGGAATGCAGTCGGTGACATTACAATAATTACGCTGCCAGATGGATGCTAAACTTATTGGGGGATCACATTATAAATTATATGTCTGACCTATGCCAAACACCTGAAATTAATATGAAATAATACTGAATGTCAACTATAATTGAGATAAAATAAAACTGACCATTTTCTAAAATCATAAAAAATTATTCAAAATAAGGCAAGTCCCAATATTCCTATAAGTCAGATATATACATACACATATACATGTTATATACACACACTTACGAATCAAATAACAGTAACTAAAAGGATCTGAATGTGGTGCAAACAGCATTTGGTATTGAACCACAATAAATCCACTGAGACAAAACTCATTGTCGCTTGAAGTTTGGGAAAATCTGAACAGTCTCGGGACCACCTAACACCCACTGCTTCCTCCAGGGTGTGGAACCACGCAATGTTTGTGTTACCTTACACACAGTCAGAGAAGCTCTCACAAACCCTTGGAAAGTGTGTAACTGGTTCAACTTTTATGGAAAGCATTTGAAAATACTGAAATTTAAAAAATATCTGACTCAAAAATTTTCCTCTCAGCAATGTTTCCATCCGAGTTCCACATGATGAGATTTTTTTAATGTTTTACTGTCCCACCTAATGCAAAACAGAGTGGAACTTGGAATCATCCTGGCTGTAACAGACTTCGAGTTCTTTTTTTTATTATTATTTTTTACTGATTTCAGAGGGAGAGGGAGGAAGGGAGGAAGAAACAACATTTGTTGTTCTGCTTATTTATTCATTCACTGGCTGATTCTTGTATGTGCCCTGCCCAGGGATCAAACTCACAACTTTGGTGTATCAGGACGATGCTTCAACCAACTGAGCTATCCTACCAGCACGTATTTTGTGTTTTTAACCACTACAATGTACTGCCTCAGTGAGGTGATTCAAGAATTTATAAGTACACAGAGATATACGTATAGGGATACTCACTGCAGCTTTATTTAAAATAGTGAAGAACTGAAGACGCCTGGATGTTCTTTCAACAAAGACCCATCAAACACAGTTGTTCTGTTCAAAAGAATACTAACTTCAGTGCTGATACAGAAAAATCTCCAAGACATTAAGTGAAGCACAGGGTTTAAGCAACTTGCCCAAAGGTTTCTGCTTTTTTAATCATTCTATTTTCAATTACACTTGACATACACTATTATATTAGTTTCAGGTGTACACCCCAGTGATTAGACGTTACAAAACCTACTAAGTGATCACCCCAATCAATCTCACAGCCCTCTGACCCCAGTTGCGGTTACTAGACCATTACTGACTCTGCTCCCTGTTCGGCACTTTACATCCGCGTGACTGTTGTGTAACAACAGATTTGCCCTCTTTAGTCCCTTCCCCTGCTCTTACGTGTCAGGATACACAAGTGGTGAATAAGTCAGAGGCTCAGAGGAGGGTGAGAAGAAAGACTTATGTTTCATTTTATACTTTCCTATACCATCAGATTTTAGCATGTGCATATATAACAAAGTCTCATACATTCACTTAGATTGTCACCATTTTTCTCTCTTTGGCTTGTCTTACAATTGGAAACAAAGCAACAGAGGAATACCATCAATGGTACACATAATTGTGGTTCTTGTATATGTAGGAAACAATCTGCAAACACCTCAACTGCTTTTTGTCCTGCCGCGTTATGTCCTCCTCAGCTAGAAAGCACTAGATAAGGGAGAGAGACGTCTGTTTTCTAATTCCAGCCCTCTAACTTTGTGTTTGTGGTCATCTCAACCTCACATCCCTCAACAGAAAAAAGAAGGGCTTAGATCTAATGGTCTTAGTTCTATGAATCTAGGCCTGGTCTTCTAACACCACAGCATATATTGCAATCTCTTGCATGACCTGAGGTCCAGTGAGATCTACATCGGCAATGCCAGTAGAAAGTCCGTCCAGTTTAACGACTGAACCCAGGCAGCACCTGGAGCCACAAAGTAGTCACCGATTCTGGGCTCCATTGACTTTGATTCCCAGGGTCAGCACCGTGTTCTCATATATAATGAAAACTCTTACTCTGGTAAATACAAAATTTATGATGTTTGAAATTACGAAAAATCTCAGAGAAAGACTGTAAGAATCACCTGAAGACTAAAATGTCTTGGCTGAAAACTACTTTAAAAAATGTTTAATAAGTTATTGATTTTAGAGAGAGAAGAAGAGAGAGGAACATCATTATGAGAAACATCATTTGGTTGCCTCCCATTCGTGACCCAACCAGGGACTGAACCTGTAACCCAGGCATGCGCCCTGACCAGAAGTGAACCCCCAACCTTTGGTGTATGGGACAATGCTCCAACCAACTAAGCTGACCAGGGCTGAGAACTACTTCTTAACACAAAACACTTACTATCATTTTGACCTCTACTTCAAAGGAAATTAGCACATCCAGACATTCCTGAGTGTCTGAAACACAGCAACTGTACTTATGAGCACTTCTAGAGCGTGAACGCACTTAGATTTTTGGTATCTTTTAGCAGTGCATATTATTTTAATTATGAAATAGAGAAGAAGGTGTTTCTTACCTGATGTCCACACATAAGACTCTGAGAGGCCATCATGATGGCTTTCATTCCTGAGGCACAAACTTTGTTTACAGTGGTACATGGAGTAGAAATAGGTAAGCCTAAAACCAACACATATGTCACACTTCCGAAAAGTAGGAAAGATACCCTTCAACACAACTACAGATTTAAAACTAATAAAATAAAGTACACTAAACTATAATCTGTAATGACATTACTTCTACCAATACAAGGCTATACATATTCAATTATACTGTGCATTTAATATTTTATTTAAGCTGAAGTGAACTCCATTTTTCCATGTAAAATACTTTAAGGATAAAAGTAAGAATGTATTCCTGGTACCTGCACCCAGCACCGCTTGCCTCGCAGGGGCTTGTCCTTCGCCTCCTTGCAGAACATTACCCATGTATACCTCTTTCACTTCTTCTTTTGGTATCCCTTTTTAAAAAAATCAAAAAGGCATTTCCAATTTAATAATTAGTGATGACCTAGTAAGGCACATGACATTATACAGCAGGAATTGTTCCTTTTTCTTATCAGTTTTTGAGTTTCATTCCCAACTCTATCATACAAGGACTTCTGTAAAAGGGAATTCATTTCTAAGTGTTATGTATATAGCAAGTGCAAAATAAATATCTGTTCCATTGGATCACTGCCCACTTAACACAAAAAGCAAAGTGACTACTGACCCGCCTTTTCAATGGCTCCCTGGATGGCAACGGAACCAAGCTTAGTGGCTGGCAGGGAGGACAGGCTGCCTAGAAAGGACCCAATCGGTGTTCTTGTGGCACTTGCTATGACCACTTCCTGGCAAGAGAGAAGATGATAAAAATTATTATATTTAAGTATTTTACCCAAGTCACCTTTTATTAAATAATCATTCATAGACATTATTATCTAAGAAAAACTTTTTATGAATGATTACTCATCACAGATTAAAACAATATCAATATTATTTTATTATTGATAAAATATTGATTTTATTATTAAATAAAATATTTAATTTTAATAAAATTAGTTTATTAGCAATAAAACTAATACATTTAATGCTGGTAAAGACTTAAGATCTAATAGAAAATCTAAGACAAACTCACTCCAAAACAGGCGTTGATCCTTCTCAATTCTCCACAGGACGTTTGAAATGAGAAGCTTAAATTTTGATTCTACTCTTCAGTCAAAATTTAAGAGAAGATAACTTTATCCTTGTTAACTGCTTAACAAACCACCCTAACCAAAGGGTGTCCTTACTGGAGGGACTAGTGATCAACACCTGGAGGGCCATTCCACAGCTGGGACAGGGCCAGAGCCATAATCTCTTAAATGATTCACAAGATAATATTAAGATGAATTCAAGAAAAAATAGACAAAAGCTTTCAAATCTTATAAAACTATTGCAACAATTGTCTCCTTACACTTGCCTTGCACATTCTCATTTTAAGTTCATAAATAAATAATTGGTGCTTAGATTTTTGGTAGAAGGCTATTACGAAGTCATTTTGGGGACCCTCCTGAAACAAAGAGAAGACTCCCTCACAAAGCTAGGTCATGATGAGCTGGTGTTCTTTCCTTCCGGTACCCGGCCTGGTTTGGTCCCTTTCTTCTGGCATCTTTAAGGGGCCCCTGGAATGTGTCACACACAATATAATGAGGGTCCCTGAGAGTAAGGGGAAAACAATGCCCAGTTTTTGAGAGAAGGTGTTTTTACAGTAGACAAAGTAAAGAAGCACAAATTATGCAGGCCACTAAATTAAAATTTTTATGGTAACTTGGGTGTTAGTATGTCGATAATTAGCCATTTCTAACCAATGCATCATCCTGAGCTGACCCTTTCATATACACAAATCACAAAAACATGCATTTGCATGAACTATATTTCCTTTACATTCTTTAATTAAAGCTTTATTTAATATTTAAGTTAATATCTAATTTAAATTTAATAAGTAATATTAAATTTAATCATTAAATTTACACTTACATTTAAAGCAGGTTTTGATACATAACTTCTCTCCACATATCTTATTTCCTGTAATATAAATATTTATAATGTCATGATGTAAAAAATATCAATGTATGTCATTTTATACTTCTCAGTGATGAGGTTATGGTGATTTCTCTGCTTCTTTACACTTTTATTTCCAAGTTTTCTAGTTAGCATATATCAGTGTTACATTGGAAAAAAATTGCTTTGTAATATACTCTTCTGATTAACTGTTCATTGGGAATGTAGGTGTATCTTAAAATTGTTAATCTTTAAGTTCTAAATTAAACAATTTAAAATTGTTTTTACAAGAAAATATCCACCCTGGCTGGTGTGGCTCAGTGGATTCAGTGCCAGCCTGTGAACCAAGGGGTCGCTGGTTCGGTTCCCAGTCAGGGCACATTCCTGGGTTGCAGGCCAGGACCTCCGTAGGGGGTGTGGGAGAGGCAACCAGACACTGATGTTTCTCTCCCTCTCTTTCTCCCTCCCTTCCCCTCTAAAAGTAAATAAATTAAATCTTTTTTTACAAAAAGAAAATATCCTCAAGACTTCAAAAGACACTTAAGTAAAACTTGCCACTTCTCCCCTTCCACTTCTAACAATTATCTCTGTTTATATTAACAGATAAATTCTTTTTTAAGAAAGAAAAGAGTAAATATCTTGCCCCTACATCTCAGTTCCTCCCACACTTCTTAGGAACAAATGCCAACAAGGACAAATGCTAAAAACGCAGTTTACAATTCAGAGACCTAATGAATCTGAAGTTGGACAATTTATAGGACAAAGAACAAAGAAAATTTTTTGTCCTCTGATGTCAGAAAGCATAACTATTCAGCCCTGGCTGGTGTGGCTCAGTGGATTTAGCACCAGCCTGTGAACCAAAAGGCCACCTGTTTGATTCCCAGTTGAGACACATGCCTGGGTTACGGGGCCAGGTCCCTGGTTGGGGGGCGTGCGAGAGACAACCAATCGATGTTTCTCTCCCTTTCCTTCTCCCTGCTTTCCCCACTCCCTAAAAATAAATAAAATCTTTTGAAACAACAACAAAAAAAAATAACTATTCAAAAGTGACAGCCCATATTTAGAACTTAATCTTGTTGATAATTATGTACAAACATATCTCACAGAGTAATAAAACAAGTACACGAACATCTGAAAACTTTAAACTGACAAAAGAACTTAGCTTTTCACAGATTAAACAAGCTTTGTCCCGACTCAGTACAAATAATAAACTGAAAAGCATACACAAAAGGCAGATATATTTGACAAATATTGGTTATAAGCAGAGATAACCAGAAGGTATCCCCACAAAATTGGTTTTTATAAAGCGTTCACATGCGAATCAATCATGAAATAGCAGCTTAAAGACAGAATGTTTTGCTTGGTAATGGAAGAACAGAATTTACTTAAGGTAATCTTTTTTCCAATGTTAATATTACTTTAAAAAGTCACTTTTATGTAGAAAGTTCACATAACTTTGCTCTAAGAAATAATTTAGTCCTGATTTGATTGAAAAGTATCACAATATTCATTGGAGCTCCTATTCTGAAGAGGCCTTTACAGCCTTTGTAAGGGAGCGGTGACTGTCACACATAATACTATTTGATCCTTCACTTGATCGATAAATATGTTGAGATCACTTACCTTACAGAAGGCATTATGGGGAATTTGAGGTCTGTATGATATGGCCCCTATTCTCAAGCAGCATTATAATCTTATCAGGGAGAAATGTTAAAGTTATCTGTTCGTATTCCTGTGGCAGAATTTGGTTAAGAACTGTGAGAGAGACAAATAAGTATGCCATCCCCAGGGTTCAGAGGAGAAAGACCACTTGGCTTCTGCAATTGATGTCAAATATGGGATTCCACTTAAATGCTTCAGGCGGGAGTTTTATAAACATTGTTTCAACCCAACTTTCTAACACATCAAAAATAAACACAATAGAGATCATCAACTTACTACTTGCTAGTACCAGATTAACCTGTCTGTGCAGACCTTGAAGTAAAATGTACCTGCCCTCCCTGTCTCTGTCTGTACACGTCCACCCAAGCGACAGTGTGCATACTGGCCCAGGCCTGTACTGGGTAGGCAAGGCCCCAGGGCACCTGCTTCACAGATGTACTCCTCAGCATCAGCTGTGCAAAGACAAGTTCACCTTCACATGCCATATAATTTGGGGTGCTGCTTATGCAACCTACTTTTCATGAAGGATTCTAACATATTATCTGTATCCAATTTTGAATTAAAAGGTCCTACTTGTAATAAACGTGCCACTCATTGCTATCCAACTTGAAGAGGTCTATAACGGACAGCCCTAGGCACACACAACATGACTCCCACCCTCCTCCCATTGGCCAGAGCTGACAGGACCAAGAATAGAATGGACTTCGAGCCTCACTGGCTCCCTGAAAACTGGGTCAAGTAGATGATAACAAGCACTTGAACTGAAAGATCACTAGGGATGGGGACTAGTCAGTACCATGGCAAGCAAACGCCTTGTCAAAGCAGAGGCTACAGCAAAAGTCATGAGTAAGCAGAGAAGCAAAGTAATGGAATATACACAACTCAGAGAAGAGGAGGAAAATGACCACGACACATGACAAGAGACAAAAGAAGAGTCTCAGACCTGGCTGGTGTGGCTCAGTGCACTGAGCACTGACCTGCGAATCAAAGGGTCACTGGTTCAATTCCCAGTCAGGGCACATGCCTGGGCTGCAGGCCAGGTCCCCAGTAGGGGGAGCATGAGAGGCAACCACACAAGGATATTCCTCTCCCTCTCTTTCTCTCTCCTTTCCCTGCTCTCTAATAAATAAATAAATAAATAAATAAATAAATAAATAAATAAATAAATAAAATCTATTTTTTAAAAAGTCTCTGCTTAATGATCTTCTATAAAGGTTTTCTGCAAAGCCAGCTGTACTTTATTCTCTCTCCTTGAATGTCCAAGAGCTTGCCTATTGTATATCTTCAAAAATGTCATTTTATACTTAGCTAGTTTGAATGAGATGTTATTCCTAGCAATCAAAAGGCCTTTTAAGCAACATCTACTCTTCTCTAAAGTTTCCAGTTCTGTTTCACTACAAGTTCCCTGGTCTCTTCACTCTGCTCTGGATGCCACCTCCAGCTGCCTGAAGATTCCACATCTTTAGTGACCCTTCCCTCTCCCCTACATCACTCATCCCCTTTGCTCCGGATCGTTCCACAAGCATACAACCAGGTGGGTTCCTTCCACCTGAAAGAACAGATGTCCTTGAACCCACATTTCCACTGAACTTTCACCTCATTTCTTAGCTCCCTCGCACAGTTTAAGTTCTCCCATGTCTGTTTCCTTGTCCTCGTCTCCTGTTTACTGTTCAACCCCCTCCAATGTGGCTTTTAATCTATACTACTGTTGACTCTGAGCAAGGTGTAGCAACACCCAATAAGTACCATAATCACCTCCTGGCAACACTGGGTCTCACTTTTCTTCTTTGAGAATTATGCACAGTAGTTAAGAGCCAGGGTTTACCTTGGTTTTTCCAAATACCCTCATGGGCTGTTGTGAGAATGAAATGAGGTGATACGTGTAAACTACTACACAAACCTTCCCCTTTCTTGGCTTCTATTTTAATACAACCTTGAGGTTCCCCTCATACCTCCCTAGTTATTTTTCTGCCTCCTTTGCTGTCTCATCCTCCCCCTCCCAACCTCTAAGTGCTGGAATGTCCCAGGACTTTGTCCTAGGCCCCTTTTAACTTTGCAACTTCACTGTCTCCTTAACCATATCTAGTCCCATGGCTTTAAAGAGCATTTACGTGCTTTCAATTCACCTCCAGGCTCATTCAAGTTCTATCCAGAAAAATTCCAGCAATTTTTAATATAACGTGAACCATTTGCAAGACATGGATGAAACCTGGCAACCAAGGAGAGAGGGCTGGAATGAGCATGCATGAACAATGATGACCTCAGTGTACTAGTCAGTGGGGGCAGTAGATGCCATTGAGTGAGCATGTGTACTGTGTGGCCATGGCATTCAAAATGACTGAGCAAGTAGAGCACCAAATTTAAATCAAATTTTGCATCAAGCATGAACATTCCTCTGCAGAAACTATTTGGATGATTCCGGAGGCCACAGCTATGAGCAATTGGTAACTGGCAGCTTCATCAAGGCAATGTGCCCACTCATGCAGCATGTCTCATGCAGTTTTTTGACAAAACATCAAATTAGCCAGGCAATTCAGCCCCTCCTACAGCCCAGATTTGGCACCCTAGGACTTCTGGCTTTTCTCAAAGCTAAAATCACCTTTGAAAGGGAAGAGATTTCAGTCTGTTGACGAGATTCAGGAAAATACGACAGGGCAGCTGTTAGTGACTGGGAGAACTGTGTGAGGTCCCAACGTACCTACTTTGAAGGAGGCTAAGGTATCATTGTCTTATGCACAATGTTTCTTGTATTTTGTATCTTCTTTAGTAAACGTGTCTATTTTTCATATTACATGGATGGACACCTTCTGAACAAACCTTGTATATCCAAATGCTCACTTAATAGCTTCAATTTATGTTTTTCTTTTCTTTTTTTAAATAAAGCTTCAATTTAACGACCACATCATGGCTCTCAATTTCCAACCCTAGAAAACTAGTCTCATCCCAGTATTTCCTACCTCGGAACATTGCATCACAATTTACCTGGGTGCTCAAGCCAAAATCTTAGGGCTCACCCTTCATCTTGCCTTAAAACAAACCCAGATACTCCAACATAAATACTATCAACATTGTGTCCAGAATGTACCTGAATCCTTCCCCTTGGCTTCACCCCCACGGCTGCCATCTAGTTCCAGCCACCACCTCCAGCTACTACAATGGAATTCTTCTTCATTTCCTACTTCCTGACTTTCCTTCCAGTCCAATCCAGTTTTTAAAATGTAAAATTTACATTACTCTTGCTTACTACAAGAGTAATGTAAACTGGATCACATTACTCATTACTCCCCTGATTAAAATCCTCTGATGCTTTCCATTGCCTTTGGAATACTATCCAAACTTCTCCCCCTGACCTACAAGGCCTT